GGAATGCTTGTTTAGCTGTACAACTTGCTTTTAGTCTATCTTTTATGAAATTTCCTAAGCTATGTGAGTGTAGGTGGAACATGAGAGATAAACATCTATAAAGCATGATTCATGAAGTGGAAAGTGAGAGATAGAGAGTGCTGTTAAATGCATTAGCAGCTGCACCTTATTGAGAGCCTTGTAAAATGCAAGGATTGTGGATAAAGTACTAGTGCACTAGGATGGAGGTAAAGTACTAGTTCATCATGATTACAGCAGGCGCAATTCTCCCCTAATTCTCTGGGGCACAGGCAAAGCAATTGGATTGCCCCACTCTTTGTGTCTGCCATAAAGGTGTTACAGATTACCCTTTTTCCATTTACCCAATGTAGGGATGCATGCCAAGAACAGACATGATACTTCCTGAGACTCAGGGGCTGCCTGTTGTACAGAGCTTACAAGGGTCTTTTCAGACCTTTAAGTTACTTCATGCAGCCATTGCCAACAGTGCATTCTAAGGGACCCCTATTACAATTTGCAGAGTAGGAGCCCTGTGGAACTCCCAAGCTGCCACTGAGAAAAGAAAAATGCTAATTATAAACAAACCCTCTTGTTATTCCAAATACTGACCGTATTTTCTTTTTATTCTGAAAACTGACTTGAAGAGGACTGTGCCAAGACAATGACCATTCTGTAGGCTTTTCCTATCCTTTGCAACTATATCAACTACTCTCAGGATGAAATGCATTTCTTTTGTCTGTATGAGTTCACTTTCAATGAATTGTGGACATTCTTTCAGGCACAATGAGGACTTTTGTACAAACATCCTATTGTCTCAGTGAAAGTTCCAGACACTATAACTGCAGAATATAACTAGGATGAAAGGAAAACCATGTCCATAAGTACTGTGAATGTCTTTGCCTTTGACACAGTTCTTCTGTAAAAGTAATCAGAATAAAGCTGAAAAAACATCCAATCCTAAGTGCTTGGAAATGAAATTAATTTTTCTATACTGTAAAGTAAGTCAGTCTCCATAAGCAACTCAAATCTGAGTCTGTCTTGTTTCCATGAGCATTCAGAGATTCCCACATGGGTTTTTTTTGGAGGGCTTATTTTCTTAATTACTCTCTCCCTCCCACGGACCTTAAGTTCCACACAGGCTATCATCTTAATGTGCTAACAAGTGGCAAGTCTGGTGGATGGCTCCCACTACCTTCCCAACATTTTCTTACCTCAGCAGAACTATTTGTTGAGCCTCCTGCTGCTGTGTGTCTGCTGTATTGTTTGAACTGGAGCAATCCATCCTGCACAGCCTGTACCACTCCATTTCCCCGCTGTGGGAAACAGCCTTCTCTTGGTAGCGAGCGGAGCTCCAAAATGCAGGCTTGAATTCGTGCAAAGTTTTCTCTCACTTGCTGCAAAACAGTATTCAATGAAATTGAAAGACTGGAAATGTCAAACTGATATTATGGAATGATTTTCCATAACATGGAAGGAGGCTTTTGAATTCACAGCACTGAGATAACACTGGGGGCAGGAGCCAAGTCGTAAAGCAGTGAACAGTGACATGACTCAAAACCAGCTGATTGTTATGCTAGTAACAACACACGATCACTCCTCAACTTTTCAGCCATCTACCTGTCTGTTGCCTGCTGCTAGCCAAAATGCAGTAGTTTGGCATGCCCCTCTCCTCTGGCCCTGCATAACACAGAGGCAGAACTTGAGACATAAATAGGAGCGCTGGGGCGATGTGATATCCCTAGGCCATAATCACCCCTGCCATAGCCATACTCCTTTACTCGTCAGGCTGTGGACCTGCGTTCAGGAGGGTTTGGAGTCGGACTGTGGCGACAAGCTCAAAAAGAGGTTCCACAAACTCATCGGTAACACGTCCAGAAGCAGATACCAAGAGGAATAGCCTCAAATGTATCCTCTATCATTGTTAATACAAATAGGGGACTGTGAGGAGAATGAACTGCAGAAAGTGATTGGGCTCGGGCACTCCCCAAAATAGCCTTTCATTTGGAAACTAGGCTGATGGACTGTTGGTCTGACTCAGGAGGGTATTTCTTAGGCTCTTACGTGGCTCTTTTAGGATGTTCACCACAGCAATGATTATTAAAAAAAAAAGCAAACACTGATGGAAGGTCTGTGGACCCTCCTGCTTCAAAGATGAGCTACCAGAGCAAGTGTAGAAAGGAAAAACTATTCTATAGCTGTCATTTGTAAAAATGTTTTATTCCTTCAGGCAACAGCTACCACAATACAAAGGCTGCCCTGAGGACAGCTGGTCTGACTCATTATGGCAAGATGAACATTAAAAATACACAGATTATTAACCCATGGTGCTCCATTACGATGCTTTGTGTCAGTCTCGTGGATTGGAGGATATTGGGCCATATTCTCACTGCCTTCTATGGTGATTTGGATTACCTGCAGTCCAGGGTGTTGCTGAACCCTTATATCACGTATGTTGCTCAGCACTCCCTTGAACTTGGTACTTATACTGGTCACAGAAGGCAGTCTGAATATGAACCAGGCTGGCCAGGATCATGGTAGACCCCTCTCATCTCTTTCTCCATGCAATATTAGTTGAGGCTACCTGGTATCTATTACCCAGCCATGACCTTTCCTTAGCATAGACATAATGATGCTAGGTGCACCCTCGATCCACAGGTGGTGTGTGGAGCATCTCAGCTAGCGTTCACACAGATGTCAGCTCCCCTGAGCTTCAACAAGAACTCGGAGTTAAGACATACCCAGCAGGTAAGCTAGCAAATTTTGGCCATAGGAGAGATTATTAGATTAGATTATTTGCTTCCAACAAATCTGTTTGGTGGTGTGTGGAGCATCTCAGCTAGCGTTCACACAGATGTCAGCTCCCCTGAGCTGCAACAAGAACTCGGAGTTAAGACATACCCAGCAGGTAAGCTAGCAAATTTTGGCCATAGGAGAGATTATTAGTGAACTCCAACGAATCTGTTTGAAGCAATATAAGATACTGCTGCGAGAGGTCACTTTCCTCACAGAAGAGGCAACATTTGCTTCAGATGCTTGGAGCTCTGACTCACCGAACCACTCCCGAGCAGCCATGGTTTACAGCATCGTCTTCCAGTGTGACTAAGTTATGAACCAGGGGGCTCAAGCATGTGTTCACAAAAAGCTCTGATGGTTCCACAAATATGGTGGGGAAGAAAGCTGGGACGGCTCAAACCTTGCCTCAGAATGGTGAAGAGAAGGAAAGACACCACACTTTGTACTCTACAGTGCAAGAAGTGTCTGGCCCATTATGTCAGTTCTGCTGTGAGGTTAGCAATCTTTGATAAATGCACCAAGCAGATGCAGCCAGGAGCCTCTTCAAAGTCCTACGGCAAAATTTCCTGCAGTTCAGATGCCTGCCCTGCAATCCCAGGAGGCAGCTGCAGCTCACACAGATGTAAACCAGCTGTCTCAGGTCAAGTATTGCTCCTAACTGGGGCAGAACAAGGCTCAGCATGGGCTGCAGGGCAGCCTGAAGGTCCAGTTAACTACCTGTCCTTTGGAACTGGCACCAGCAGAGTTGCGTTTTCTCTTGTATATGCACAGCTACTTTAAATGTTAACTTGGACAAGTTTACACAAGCTGCAGTTTCAACTCTGGAATGTGCTTGGGACGTAAAGTAAGTAAGCTTCTAAGCAAAAATTGTGGTGGTTAACTATTTCTGACTGCAGCCCTCTTCCAGGCGCTGACACCCCCAGCCCATGGGCCTTGACATGTCTCTTTGTGTGTGACCCTGCCCCTTCATTACACAACTGCAAGAATTCATAACTTCACACTGTGCGTCCAGCAAAACATTTTCATCTGCAACACTACATTGCTCACAGAGAAAAGCTACCAAAAAGAGAGATCAAAGCTGGCCATGAGCCGGGGTAGGCACTGCGCTCACTGTCCTGTCTGGCTCCTTCCACATGTTGTACCCTCACCTACTTCAATCTGCTAGTCCCTGTAGTTAACGTCTTTCTCCCTTGTTTCTTTTTCAGTCCTTTATGTCAGGGAGGCTCTGGGAGTTGTGTGGGATGGCTGACCATCCCAAGGGAAAATGAGTAGGAACAGGGCCCATCAGCTGCAGGTGCTCTGCTCAGAGTCCTGATTCAGTCCCACATTAAAGTTCTATGCGCACTTCCCCTCGTCACCATCTGTTGTCCTCCACCAAATAACCAAAGAAAGGTTATTTACTTTCTTCCTGGTTTCCTTTTCTTTGGCATCACCCTGCCCTTTTCAGGGAAGCTCTTTGGACTTGTTAGAGTTAGGCCAATAGGGCAGAGCAGTAGGAACAGAGAGCATAAGCAAGTGCCTAGGAAAGACTACGAAAAGGGTAACCATACATGACAGTTCCTCGTGTACTCTCCCAGTCTCTATTTTCAGCTCTGGGGCTTTCCTGACTTATATGATTTGTCTAATAAGCAACCTTCAATATAGCTCTATCTTGGTTCCTCACTGAGAAGTATCAAGTTGTTCTCTAGCTAGATCAGAAAGTCAATGTGATAAACAGCATGCCCTGTTGAGACAAAGGGGCAAATTCAAGAGTATAAAAAAAGCAATGGAGCCTTTTTCAGTATTTCTGAAGAAGGCTGAAATGGAACAGATGTTTATTAGACAGAGATGTAAAACTGCTGCTGATTCCAGAAGCTGCAGAGGACCAGATATTGTTATTACTGAAATTAGGTCCATTGAAGAAGATAGTCATCTTGATATACTTTACTGTTCCTAATAGAGAAAGAATAATTCTGAAAAACAGCCTTCAGTACAACAGCAGATGTCTAAAATAAAGAGATGGCTCATGTGGCAGAACATCCAAGCAAAGCTAGGGAGGAGTGGGGGCTCACACTGGAGTTGTGCCTATCAACTGGGTATGCACTAGTGGCTCAAGTCTTGGAGTGTGAACTTTGCTGTCTTGGACAAGTCCCAGAGAAACACAATATTATGGCAAAAGAGCTGATGTGATTACCAGTCAGGCAAACAAGAGGAGGGGTTATTTTTTAGCTCTCTGTACAGCATTGCTGAGTCCAGTATTGGAATGTAGCATTAAAAAAAAATCCCAATAGAACAGTGAATACATAAAAGGGTTTGGAAGTTACTAAGGGCCTGTAAAAATGCCTTGCAGTTAGTCTCACACTTTGTTCTCTTTCATTTACCAGCTAGAAGATTGAGAAGGGACCTGATTATGTTTAGAGGAAGAAAGTATAAGATACAAGCAGGTTCTTCAATCTAGCCAAAAGAGGAAATACATTAACAAATCCCTGGAAGCTAAGGCCAATAAATACAAATTAGGAACCAGGTGCAAGCTTCACAATGACAATGATGAACCACTGGAAGAAATTATCAACTGAAGTACTTGATTCTCTGTCTTGTAATATCTCCAGATCAAAACTAGATGTCTTTCTGAAGGAAGTGCTTTAATGACATATGGGTACTTTAGTGAAACATAATAGCCTGTGATATGAAGGAAGCCAAACAATGATCTAAAGGTTCCTCTGTCTTTAAAAACTGTGATTATCAACATGAGGTATTGTTTAAATAAAAAAGACAACCTATCATGAGCAGAAGATTCATATGATGTGGCACATAGAGGGATTGTGTCAAAGTGCAGTTGTGCTCTGGTGAGCCATGATTACCAAATGAGATCTGAGGTTGCTGTCAGCCAGCACATTTTGGATCAGTGTCAGGACATACCTAGCAAACAAAAAAGCAGGTGTTTGGCCCCAAACACTTACAAATTAACTTGGACATAATGCAAAAATCACAGAAAACAGGCCTGGAACCAGTTGTGAAACAGATTACCTAGTCCACCCTACAGTGACATGCCAGGATGAATTATATGTAAATTAATCCTAGGAAGCAAGACAAGTGTCTGTTCTTAAAGCTGCTAATCAGAGTGATTTCACAGCATCTCCAGAAAATGTTTCTTTGGTATCCCCGTAGTTATCCTTGTCACATTATCTATAACCTATTCTACAAAATAAACACCACCATTAGCCACAGTCTTCTTGCAGATCACATTTGCTATGATTTTTTTTTTCCAATTGGCCTCTACCGTTCCTGAGATGTGAAAACTTGACAAAATATTTCAGAATGTTTTCACCATCACTGAATAAAGTGGAAGGGTTAATACCGTGTGTTTACGCTACATTGCATAAATGAGATTGCTCAGCATTACTGTTTATAATAGTAAGACTTCATAGATTCTTGTGAACTTTATGATGCTTTGTAATCTCCAACTTTTATTGTTGAGTCATTCTCCCTCTATATTTATTCTGCTGCATATCCCTAGATGAGTGAAATACTTATTCTTACTGACTTAGATCTATATATTTAAAAGACGTGTAGATGTGGCACTTAGGGACATGGTTTAGTGGCGGACTCGGCAGTGTTAGGGTCATGGTTCGACTCGATGATCTTAAGGGTCTTTTCCAGCCTAAATGATTCTATGATTCTGTAATTTCAGGATATGTCTCAAATTTGGCAAAAATACTTTGAATTCTTATCCTTTCCCCTTAAATGTCTAGAACCTCTCCCAAAGTGGTAATATTTGTGTAATATACAGACCATTTCATCTTCACATTATTACTGCTGTAGAGTTGTGTTTGATAATTTTGATAAAGAAGCAGTACAGAGAGTACAGAAAGTACCGTATGAAAGGGAGAGGTACAACAGATGTTTTAGAAGAGAACAGTACAAACTCTAATTTATGCACGCGAGCAACTTCACAGATCAAAAATATGACACTCCTCTTTTTAAATATCAGTCTTTCATAAAATTCACCTCTTCCATGAAGTCTGTGAAACTATGCTCTTTGAAAATGAGTAATTTTTACCTAGTAATTTTTACCTATACATTTGTAGTAAACCATAACTTTCTTTACTGAACTGCAACCATGTATTGCATTCATGTTTGTTAGATCCCAAGAGACATAATTTCACACATACCGTAAAGGGAAGCAGACACTCTTGCTGGTTCTGCACCACGTAGATGCTCAGCAGGGGAACACGGCAGGGGCCTGTCAAACTGCATGCCAAACTGAGTGTGTTTTCCAGAGCTTCAGAGAGTATAGAACAAGTGTTGGTCCAGGAAGGTGATGTGACATCCACAATGAGAATCCGTGATGGCTGCTGGTAGTGTACTTTAATAGCAGGAAATGTTCTCCGTGTTTCTGAAAGCAATTTTCTAGAATTCATGGCTTCTGAACATGGGTATTTGATGCCCAGTTATCCATCTGCCTCTGAACAGGAAAAAATAACAAATAATAGCAATGAGTGAGACGCTCCCTTTCCCATTCACTTAAAAGCAACCTGAGACATAGCAGACGGTAATGGATTAGAGTCCTATAGCTTTCTGCAAAGCAATCATTGTCCATACTCTAAGATAAACCTACACAAAGACAAGCAATAATGCATATGGTCAGAAAACAAAATGGTTCAACTAAAGAAAATGCATGGTAGATATACTCTTACAGATGCAACTGGAGCAGTTAAAAATGTTAATAGCATAGCCATGCCTAGCCCATGGATGAGCTGTGTGTATGTCGCATGAGCCCTCAGTATGGCTCAGGTGCATGGCATCAATCTCCAGCAGAGAAGTGATCTCCAGCAGCTGGTGGATAGCAAGACTTTGAACTCCTACTCCTATCTCTGCAGTGGTCAAGTGATTATACCCAAACACCCTGAGGAGAACGCAGCCCCCACTCCTTAATACCCACTATGAGACAAGTAGCTGTCGTATCCAAAAAAAGGCCAGCATGATGCAGCAAGAAAATATTGCATATACATAAATTTTACTTTGTGGACAGTGAAGAACCAACCTTTGTCCATCAGAGTATCTAACACCTGGGGTTAGCTCCTGCACTGACAAAAACCTCAATGAATGCAGCAACTATCATACTGTGCAAGAACATGGCAGTGCTGCAAGCCTAGAAAATCTGTAACGTCAGAAACTCCAACAAAGTATTTTCAGCCAAACACCAGTCTTGATTCCCAGAGCTGGCTGGAGATGCTGGAATACTATGCACGGAGGTGGCTGCGCTTCATGCGTCACAGAGCTGTGCCAAACAGCGATTTGTTAGAACAGCTCAGCGGGGCTGTCACTGTTGCAGGCAACAGCTCGCACAAGGAAGGAAAGGAAAGATTGGGGCTCCTCAGTTCCCAGGTCCCGTGTGTGTGGGAAGAGAGGTGGTTCTTGTTGCAGTGACCTGGGAGACCATGGATCCTCGAGGTACGCGGACAGAGCGTGTGGTCAGGACACGTTTCTCCCCCGCCTCTTTTTGTATGTTTCCTTTCAAATATCCACCCTTTCATCCAGCAGCACCACTACATATCTCTGCATGCATAAGGCTCAGCTGGTGCCGTTTTGAGAGACTTCCCCACAATCTTTAATAAAATGTGACAGTTTCTGTGAAACAGTAAGCAGAGAAGAAGCGAGCAGCAAACAGGAGGGGAGTGTACTCTCAGGTCTTGTGTCTTTCCTGTGTCTCACATGTACGAAACAGAAGAAACCACTCAGCCCTGAGCCCAGAGTGAACACCTCATAGTTTGGCTCAAAGGTTTAGAAGCAAAATATTCACATGCGCTCATCCTCTGACCTTGAATATGACGTTTGTTTCCACCTCCCCCATTTTCCTTCAATGCATACATCTTAAGCACAAGAGCCAGCATTTTCCTGTTAAAAAATTCTTTTTCTTCCTTCATCATGAACAAACATCCGGCCTAAAATCTTCTCTTCACTAAGTCTAAACATATCTGCACAACGCACTCAGCGCTGTTTCTAAGGATATAGAAAATGCTTTAAAAACGTGTCTTGGTCTTGGTAGTAACAGTAGTATGTAACCATAGATGTCTACTTGTGCCCAGATAAGCATTTGTATAATTGCACATACCTTCTAAATATGAACTAGAATAACTTCTTTCTTCCTACACCTCTGTAAATCCCCAGCAGGCTTAGTAAAAGTTTGAAGTGACCCTGGGTTTACATAGTTGGGCTCTGGTCAGAACCCAGGCCAGTATACATCCCTGTAATTTGTGTGGTATGTTCAGCTGAGACAAATAACTCTGGTATGTTCACCAATGAGACAAGCTACCATATTTCCTACAGCCTCCAGCACTTCGGAGTAAGAATTTCTCTAAGTCTTGAAAAGAGCAAGAAATGCATTTCTATTTGATTGAAGTATCATCAGAAAAACCCTGTGTTTCTAGGATGCTTGTCAGTGAAGGCAAACCAGACTGGTCACAGATTGAATTTCAAAACTGAAGCTAACATTTCAGAACTGGTGAAAATGTTTATATATATATATACATATCTATCATGTACATACGTGTAGGTATCTTGTTTTGACTAGTAACCTGATATAATTTCATTGGAAAATGAAAAACTGCCAGATATCACTTTAATCAGCGTCTCTTCTGGAGGTTTACAATTCACAGGAGAGTTTACTAAATTACTTCACTGAATCTGGGAAAATATTTGTCTGTCTGTGTTTTTTGTGATGAGGCTTCATACTACTGAACTCTGCAAGCCCCCAGTGCTTTCTCAAACAAGGAAACAAAACCCATCCAGCAGTCAGAAATCTAGAAGAGTTGGGTCTTTGATTTGCATTGGTTTCAGAGAGAAAAAGGAGCCTTGATTCTGAAAAAGACACAGTTTCACGAAATTTGAATGAATTCTCTTATGCTTGACACTGTACAGGACTGCTTATCTTAAACTGCTTTTGTAAAATGGATCCCTCATCAGCTGTGCTCTTTATCAACTAATGAATTTAATTCCTTCATAACTGTGGTGTCTTAATCTCTGCTCAGCAATATTAATATGATATTTATGCAGTTCTCTGTACAATATTTGACGTATAATGTAAACTGCGCAACTCTCTTACAGCCTACACCACTTACACTTAGGTGTGATGAGGCTGGATAACTGAAGAATTCTGTATAGTCTAACTGGTTGCTACGGTAAAATCACATCTTCATTTAAGCAGCAAGTGAACTGACAGAGAGCCTAGCCTAAGGGATTACACCGTAATTCAGTGTGCATGAGTGAAAACTGTTAGTTCTAGCAGCTGATATGACATTAACTTATTGCTCAATAAAACAGAACTTATCAACTGTCAGAGCTAGTTGCTAACGGTGATGTACATTTTGCTCAATGCAAGAAGACATCAATTTTTCAGAACTAGAAAGACAGGGACAGAAAGAAAACTTTGCCATATTTAATGACTTGTAAGTACTGATGACATTCTGCAGTTGCGTATTATCACATGTGCTTAATCTGTTCCAGTTATACAAAACCATTAAATAATAGCCAAGTCTAAAACAAGTGTAAATGAGAGCCAACACCAAAGGCACTGGTTAAAGTATACTAAGGAGAGTCTCCATCTCCTTTCTAATATAAGAACCAGCAAAACTTGGATCCAACCTCACTCTAAGTGAGAAGAAAAAACCCACAAAAATGTGAATTTTGAGTTTAAGAATGCCTTTCTGGGTAGCTAAGCCCTACAGTCCTACAGCTATGAAGATGACTTTGACAGTGGTCTGTTTACACAGAAGTAGGGAGTGAAACCAAGAAAACCCTGAGATGTGGTAGTAATGAATACATGCTGTTAGCAAGGAAATGCACACAAAATGGTGAACAAAATGCACCAACAAACAGTAATAGTCAACAGGCTTAAGGACAATAAAAACTTAGCCTGTAAATTATTGAAAAATAAAAGATACTCCTTGATATTCTTGATCAAGAACAAGAGACAATCTCAAAGTAGTATAAACCTGCTATTAGCTTATAAGGATAAGAATTTCTTTAATGATGCAGAAAAAAGTGTTCGATAAGTATTTTAATCTGCATTTAGGAAAAAAAAAGCACTGATAACTAATTATTCTTTTTTCCATTAGTGGTTAGAGAGGATATTAACCTGCAGCTGTTAGGACTGTGAGTTTTACCTTTCAGCCAGGGGATCTTTGTGCACAGGAGCTCTTTGAACCATTTCTGTTAACCTTTAATTCCTCTCAGAGCTGTGCAAGTTCCAGAGTAACCATAATGTTCTTGTTTAATCAAAGACCATGCAAAATGACTCAGATAGCAATGGCATAGTTGTCATAATGTACATACCAAGCAAAATCATAGAAACAGTGATATAATGCAGCCAATAACAAATTAAAACATAGTTGCATAATTATGCAAAATAAGTCTCATTAATCAGTAGATGTTAGTAGGATTAGATATAGGCCTAGGTGCTCAAGACAGCAATGTCAGCAGAGTATGATTTCCCTCTATTGAGCATTCAATTTAAACACACTTGCTTTTAGTCACCATATCACTATAAAAAGTAATGAAACCCCTCAATGAATAGATTAAGAGCTCGTTAATGGAAAAACTGGAGATATCTATATGCGAGGATTATTCAGTAAAATGTTTCCACTGCAGTTATACAGCAACCTATTTTTTTTCTTAATTATGTAGAAACCAGATAATACATAAAAAATTACCTCATAAAATTTACAGAAGGCACAAACACTGACATGGCAAAGAAGAATCATTTATAAGGGCTTAACACAGTTGTTTATCAAACTGGGTTCATTTGCATACTATGCATTTTAATATAACCAAATGCAAATTAACCAAAAGAGCAGCAGAAGTAGCAAAAGGTAAGAGTTTATGTCACCTTTGACTCAGGAAGTCCACGAGCTGCCAATAGTTGGAGGCAGGGAGAGCGGTCTGCAGCAGCATCACTGCAAACTCACCCTCTTCCTATGCTCTTCCCAAAGCATTTGCTGTGAGCCACAAGTTCATGGAGGAGACAGATCTTGGGTCTTAACCTGTGTCACTGTTGTCATATATTTATCATTGGAGTTTCAAACTATCTGGTTTTAAAATCTGGCCATTTTCTGATTAAGCTTCAAGACCCTGGGAAACACGAATATTCTCATGTGGAAAACAGATCAAGCTACATAAATAAGTGGGTTTACTAGAGAAAAAATCAGCAAGCCATGGAGAAACCTGAGCCATGAAGTGGCTATGAAGTGTGGATGGCCTCTGTTGTAAATCTTTTTGTCTGCCTAGCCTAGAAAGGAAGGCATTTATTTAAATAGGTCAGGATGAACAAAAGCATAAAAACAAGCAAGCAAAAAAACTTAGCATAAAATCAAGCTACTGAAAACAAAATTATTCAAGATCCTATATAACAGAAGATATTATATGTTTTTCTATACACCAGTGCTATAACCAATAATAAATAAGG